ATAATATCTGAAGATACTTTTAAGATGAACTTAAATATAAAACTAATTCTTATAAGTTTTGATATTATAAACTGCTTATTTCAAGAATAAGATATATTCAAATAAAAATAAATAATGTAATTTCAAGTTAAAGAAATAATAATTCTCAAATATTGTTTAGTTTTAATTTAAAAAAATTACTCTTGAATAACGAGAATATTATATTTTTAGTGAAAGTATATAGAATTTCTTCGTATAAGCAATTTTATCTATTCAATGTTGTATAATTTTATTTCAACAAGTATATGTCTCGAAACAAGAATATTCTTTTTTTCCGTGTAGGTTAATAAGAGAGCAAAAATCTTACATCTTCCCAATTCGTTCAAATTAAAATCGAAACAGTTCCAATTGTAGTTTTATTATCAGTTTGAGAGAAGTTAATTTTTATTTCTCGAAGTTGTATAAGAAAATTTAGATATTCAAAACTTTCTACTTAAAAATTAGATTTTTTACAAGAATTAAGAAATTAGATTTAGCAGTATATTAATAGCGCAAAATTAATCAATAACATAGAGAAACGGCCATCTTTTCATCAAAAACGGGACGGTCTCAACACAGTAAAAAATTTTGTGTTAAATTTCATATTTAAATAACATATTTCACATATCTCAAATGGCCCACTCAAATTTTTTAGTTAATTTAACACAACATGAATATGTTGAAAAGTAACACAAATATTATATCAGAAATTAACACAAAACTAATACGTTAATCAATAATGAAGTACAAAATGTGTTATTTTAAGACTTACACACATAAATATCGACATTAAAAATTTAACACGAAAATTTTACACAAAAATTTTAACAAAGACAGATTTTAATACAAATCCAACATGTTTTTTTACTGTGAGCTTTAGAATGCAATTTATATCATGGTTGCCACACAGTAAAAAATTTTGTGTCAAAAACAATTCACTGAAATTGTTGTGTCACTTTAACATATAATATATTAACATATTAAATATATTAAGAGGAGAATATATAAAAAAGTACACAAATATATATTAAATTAATGTATTCATATTGTTAACATATTACATTTTAACATATTCATCTAGTTAAAGTAACATAAGAATTTGAGTAGACCGCTTGTAACATAAAATTTTTTACTATATAAGACTTTTACGCGGAGATATCGGTGCGGCGCTCCTTTTTAGTCGCATGCCGCTATCCCGAAAGGAGAAGTGTGAAGTCCGAGCGAACGTTCTACAATGTGCTGACGCGCGCGTGCGGTACTAGTTGCCTTTTCAGAACAACCGATTGCGGCACGCAAAGAAGCGTGCATATCTCGGCGAAAAATCAATGTAGAAACATTAAATAAACGCTACTTTTCTCGGTGTTTCACGCCGCAAGCGCTCACTGTGCACCGTGAAAATGAAAGTTTCTTTTCCAAATTCTGAATCTTGGTTAAAATCATTTCTGATACGCAGAAAATATTTGTATAACCACTTGAAATTTTTAGCTTCAAACCGTACTTATTTCCTACTACATTTAACCCACTTGCTTTTCAGGTAAATACAAAATAACTTGATTTTCTTATTAACAGTTTCTGCTGAACGGTGTGTCTCTTTTTATGACATTTTTTCAATACGAAGGATTTTACATCATTTAGCCCAGTATTATTATTCTCTGATCGCCCCTAAACAGAATCCGAGAAGACATTACATAGATCTGAAAAAGATCAATTATCTTCAAAAGGCACAACAAGGCGCAAATAGAATATAATGGATTTCAATAGTGTAAATATCGACGATTATGCAATTTTTGTTTTTCTCAGAAACTTTTGATAATAACATACTTCTCCATTTTCGGGATTTGTATATTTCAACGACAAATTTAGTTATTATCTTACTTCAGAAATAAGAAAAACACTACAAAATGTGAAATTACTTACGTTGAGGCACGTCTAACATACTAAATATATATAATGCAATCGCTACTAAATTTAATATAATATGTAGCACAATTTTGGCAGCTTTATAGATGTGTCTAAATATTACCTTTGAATAAACAATGTTTATAGCATCATATTTATCGGTAAATGAAAGAACAAAAAAATGACAACAATTTATGATTATTTGATTATAGGATATCATAAATTTACATTCATATCAATTTGAAGCGAAATTTCAAAACATTATTTTAGCTAAGAAATATTTATCTCAGACCATTGTGCGATGCTTTTGGCATGACACGCGTTCACGTACATAATTATGATACGTAATGTATATGATATATTATTACAAAAACGCCGGAATATATTTAGAAACGGAAATAGAGAGTCTCGGGAAATTGTTTTCTTGTATAAAATTTAAAGTATAAATTTCTAAGTATAAAATATAGAGTATAAATTTCTTGTATAAAATATAGAGTATAAAGTATACAATTTCGTGTATAAAATATAAAATATAAAGTATAAAATTTCGTGTATAAAGTTTCACGCACGTGTTTCGTTCGAAAAATTTCGCGCAAACATCTCCGTGATTTTTTTTTCGAATAGTACGGGCGTAATTTCGAGACTTGAACTAATATTATATATGGCTAGCGTCGCGAGTATCACGAGAAATTCATTCTTGGTTAACGCATAGTAGCGAATACTTGGTTAAGAATTGGCTGCCGATGTTGTGTTCTAATTATCGTTTGACTGTTATCCAATATTGAGCTGTCCGATACTGGCTACCAACGATATAAAAAATCACACCATTTGTAACAACTCCATACTGGATCGACTGTAAAATATTACATGAACGAATAAGTGTTCGGAAAGGTCTCCAGTCGAGATGATCTTGTGTCTTGTCAATTTATCTTGATATATTCAAAC